TCAATTGTGTTGAGGGGGTAGATCTGAAGAATAAATGGTAACCTTTAATTTCCTGTTCGAAGCATCCATCAGAAAATGGGTCCATTGTGGTCATAAAGGGATGGACATGGTCAGCAACAATACTCAGGCAGGCGGTGGTGTCTGAACAATGGTCAGTTGGTACTGGGAGGCCCAACGTGTGCCAAGAAAATATCTCCAACCCTACAACACCAGCAGTCTGAACTGTTGATATAAGGCAGGATGGAGCTTTTCTTTCCATTTGTCTGTTCGTCTGTTGTTCAGTTTTGATGAGTCTGTTTAAACTGTAGCCTCCGTTTCCTGTTCTTGGCTGAAGCAGTGTGGTTCTGCTGCTGTAGCCCTGCTTCTTCAAGGTTCAACGTGCTGTGCATTCAGAGATGCTCTTCTGCGTACCTTGGTTTGTAACAAGTGTTTATTTGAGTAACTTTTCCTTCCTGTAAGCTCAAAGCACGCTGGTCATTCTTCTTCGGCGTTGACGACTTTCACCTGCGGCCCACTGGATGTTTTGTCTCTTTCAGACTGTTCTCTGTAAACTCTAGAGATGGTTGTGTGTGAACCAACAATCATACACTTTCAAAGACACAAATCAATTTTCTTCCTCATTTCGATGTTCAGTTTGATCTTCAGCAGGTGGTCAAAGGGACCATTTTTTCTATATAGGTGTCTGAATTTTTTTAATCACTTATATCAGGAACATTTTAATAATTAATTATAGAATCGGATCTATTATTTGGATTAAAAAAATGTTTTTCACAACTTATTTCACTTATGCTCTACCGGGCAACAATATTAGAAAGCACTGCATCCTTTCCTCTTAGTAAACCTGGCTGTATTTCTACAAAGCCACAACTCAAAAACAGAATGAATGTAGTCACTTTGGCAAGAACAAGCGAGTATTCTGTTGATAATTTTACTATTTCTTTCCCTCTTTGATTCCAGATGAGTTTTGTTTTTACACTGACATGCTGTTTTTATTCAAGTACATGTCCTGATTTAATGTTTCACTCCTCCAGCTTCAGCCCAACCTCAGCTTTGTCACCAACAATCCCCATAAAGCGCTGAAGATTATTTATGCCGATGCTTCTGTAGCATGAAGGGCAAACAAGTTATACCACGGAAGCCACGTGGTTAACTGTCCAACTAGCAGCAAACAAGGATAATTGCAGCCTGCGGGGCCAGCTCTCTGTCATGTACATTCAGGATACTCAGACTGTGTAATTTTGACAAACATGCTACTAAAACGGCCCCACACCCCCACTTCACCCAGGTCAGGAAGCGGTCTCTGGGACAAAGTTGCTGAATCAGACCCTCCACAAGCTAACCCCCCTCCCCCCAACCTTTTGCACCCCCAGGAAGTATCTACCCTCCTCATGTCTGGTCTCCGGCTGAAGCTACAGAGGTCTGTCAGCTAATCCTCAAATATAACCACATCTGTCTCATCCTTCAAGCGCCCACCTTTTCCTTTATCCTGTAGCCCCTGTAACCTCACCTAACACCCCCCCTCCAAACCTCCTCTTGCCTTCTCTCCCTCCCTCCATCCATCGCTGACTTCTGCACAATAAGCAACATCTGGTTCTCATTTCCACAAAACCAAAACAACACAGGGAGGAGAGGAAGAGGGGAGGGGGAGGCTGGGAGGAGTCGAGAGGGAGAGGCTGTTGAAGAGAAAAGACATCCATGTGAAAAGACAGTGAGTCAAGAGAAAGAATGAGGAGCTCCATTTCTCACTGCCGGTGCAGTCGGGAGTCTTTTATGACCCAGGTGTGAGGATGTGTGAACTTAGAGTCACCTTGCTGAAATGTTTTGTTTTTTGTCTGTTAAGTCCCTCTGTGGTCTGCACCACGTCCTCCCACGCTGTAACACTACAAAGAGTCAGCTCCTTTGGTCAGCTGTATGAAAACGTTAAGACACAGAGGAGGTGGGGGGAGGTTCAGAGAAAAACTTCCCATCTTCCACGCAAAAGAATCTGCAACTCAGCGGCTAGCAGCCCTAATTACATGGGACTGTGCTGAAGTCTGCACAAGACCCGGGCAAAGAGAGAGAGACGGAGGCAAAATGTGAGGAAGGGGGAAGAAAGGAGGGTGAGAAGACAGGCACAGAAGGGGGGGCTTACCTCATTTCGTAAATACTGAGTTTACAAGTCAAAATTGCAGCGAATTAATGCTGACTAAACAAAGGCACAGCTGCTCCTTTTAACAGCCAGGGTTGGATTTTGTGCCGTCTCACACGTTAAAACAGATTAAGGTCAGTGCAAATCTACCAGTGCTGAAACTCAACCGTCATCTTATTGGCTTTTTTAAGTGTTTCTGCATCTTCATTATCCACCTAAAAAACTTTGAGTCAACACCAAAAAGATCACTTTCCAAACTTCCTGCCAGAAACTCGCCTGCAGCCGGATAATCGTCTTTCCAGGCACCAGGCTTGCAGGAAGGGCCGATGAAAACCCCAGATTTTCCTTTTCCTTAGTGCATTCCCCAGGAAAAATAAAGAATGTGATCCTTTGACCATAAAGCTTAGTGTTATCATGACCTTGTGCTTTTATAGCTTGGATTTTTCTTAAACCTTATCTCACACAAATCAGTGTTTTAGTTTGGAGCAGGTCTCCCAGAGCCACTCAGGACTGAGGGGTTTGTCTTCGTCTTCAGCTAATGACACGGTTACTGCAGCGTGCCACGGTGTGAACCCCTCGCTCTGGTCCTGTATCACTAGTCTAGAAGTCTAAAATGAATTTGCTGTTGAAGACAAACATTAACTGTGCTGTATCCTCTTTGAGTGCTTGTCTCCGGATATTTATAGGTGTTATTTTGACATTTTAGTGTGTTGTCTTATAACTGCATGTGTAATGGATTCTATACTTCACTCAAGAGACCCCCCCTCTCCGGTGCCGGTTCTGGTGTCATTATTAGTTGTAAAGGGATCTGCTTATGGCTTCAGTGCTCCAAAAACTCATTCTGTTAAAAATCAGTCCTACTTTGTTAATTTGACCATTACTTTCAGTTATTCTAATTTTGTTTTCTTTGTTCTCTCTGTGTTGTGTTGATGTGATTTATTTACTGTGTCAGAACATCGGCTGTTACAGGTTTATGTAGTTTTTATGTGTGCCAGCTCCTCCCTTTCTACTGCCAGCCCAGCAGTACTGCTCTGCGCCCAGCCTCAGACAAAATGGCGTTGGAGCCAGCTCGCGTCCTCACAGAAGAGAAATGCTGCATTCTAGTGGAAGCAGATGCACATGAGCTGAGATTTTACCACAAGGAACCACGAATGCATGACAGAGTATAAAGAAGAAACATTTTATTGCATGAGTAGAGAAAAACACAAATAACAGAGCAGACGAAAACCCATCATAAATACATCCATCATCCTGAATATCAGCATGGAATATCAGAGTTAGGATAGTCGGCCTCTAACTTTGAGATTTCTTCTTCATTAGTAGTTTCCCTTTAGGTTTCAGCAAAAGAGACTTTTTGTGCTCCTCCATTCTTTTGGCCTCCTCCTGTTTCTCCCTCCACGTCTCCATCCCTCGGTCCACCTCCGAGTTCAGCATCACAATACGTCTCTGAGAAGAAAAAGAGATGAACAGATGAGTGGGAGTGCTAAAGACGATAAGGAGGTTTTTATGTGACACTCACAGATAGAGCTTCTCTCTCTTGCCGCCTCCTCAGCTGGCCTTTCATTGGAGGTGCCGGCCGTCCATCTGTGCATATAAGAAGACAAAGTTGGCACAAAAGCAATGAGCTGGTGCAGGTTTGTCAAATAATTTCAGGCAAACTGCATTCAAAATTTATCAGGATAACAAGGAAAAAAACACAAAGAAACTCAGAAAGATCAGTATAAATTAGCATGGCTAGCTCAGTCAATTGCACATGACCCACAGTCTCTGTGGCGCAATCGGTTAGCGCGTTCGGCTGTTAACCGAAAGGTTGGTGGTTCGAGCCCACCCAGGGACGATGTCTTTTTGCTTAGAATTCAAGCAATATATATATAATTTTTTTTTTTTTTTTACAGCTCATCCACCAGGATACTGCTGTAGACTCGGCTGCTTTGATTGCCAGGTGTCCTGATGAAAGCAACTGGAGCTCTCTGTGTGGAGATCTACAAGCGTCTGGATCTCTCCACCCTGTGTGAGCCGTCAACGCTTTCTGGAGCATTTTAATCCAGTTATATGACAAAGATTAGCCTAACTGATGACCCTAAATGTGCTTTTTTTATTTTAGTGTTTGCTTGTCTCCACATACTTAGTGCCTCCATGGTGTAGCAGTTTACACATTCACCTAAAAAGTGAAAGAACCCTGCTTTGATATCAGGAGGACACATGAATCCCTTGTAGGATGCAGTCAGAGGATCATCTGCTATAAAAATCTTCCCAATCAAACACACAGAGCTACCCACTGTGCCAACCCTTTGTAAGTAAAACAGCAGACAAAAGTAGCTGCTTCTTCTGTTTTCCTTTATTTACATTTTAAATGATGTCCTGTAGATGGTCCACAAACAATACAGCTTTACAGATTTTTATTTTTCTCTATAAAAAATATAAATACCTGCAAATGACCAATCAGGCAGATCTGTCAGAGGCCCGTACTCTGTGCCGCTTCTAGCAAGTCCATGTCTGCAAGATAACACACGCTTCAATAAACCTGCACAGTCTCGTTTTTAAATGGTTTTCAGTTGTTACACATTTAACCTGACTCCATCCCAGGTTCTTAAAAACAAAGAAAAGATGAAACATCTGCATTTCTCCTCGTATACTTCATGCTGTTGTGATGCTGTGAGTGCAAACTTTATGTGTTATAATGAAGCTGCTACTGACGACCATTCACTCCTGCCTGTGAGGCTGCTGTCAGGGTGTCTAAAGGTTTTAATTAAAGGTTTCATCCAGTCGATCAATCCACATTCAAACAGCTGAAATCTTTATTTAAATGACAGTGAACTCACTCTTTCCGCCACTTCTCTCCAGCCTGGACTCCACACGTTGTGCTGAACTGTCTGCTCGAGTACCTCAGCACTGAAAACAACATCACACACAAACAGTCACCTACACGAGCCCGTTTAATTAGAAATGTGGCGTTTACGAGCAGGTACACGCACTGTTAGCATTAGCATTAGCTTTGCTCGTCAACATCACCGCGTTGACGCCGGTCACTCGCACAGGCAACGAGCCTGGTAAAAGCAGGTTATTACAGCTACCACACTCAGCTTCAGCGATGAAACCGACTACGCACACACAGGGAAATATGTGAGGATAACCTCTGTCTCACCTGAGCAGCACAACGTCCTTACGGGGGCCGCCATGTTGCCTGCACAATTTTGAGACTACCGCCAGGGGGCGCCAAAGACACACCGAGGTC